TAGGATATATTTGATGATACAAATGATGATGAAGAAGAGAAAGAGCAGGCTTATGTGCTAATTAATATAGACATTGATGAGATTAAAAGTAATTTGTATAATGCAATAAACCACTATTGGCCCAATTTAACAACATATAAATTACTTTTACCTAGTCTTTTAGATCCTAGATGTAAAAATCTATCTTTTGTCACATTCAAAGAATGGTTTGCTACTAAAAATCTACTTCGTAAAGAATATAATAGAATAAAAAATAATTTAGATAAAGAAAAAAAAATAGTTAGAATGGAGACTCATATGAAAAAACATAATACTAAAAAAAGTAGCATCCTTTCCAGTTTTAAAAAGCATATGCCAGCTGTAATTAAGGAAATTTTAGAGTATTTAAAGCTTGAGAAGCTTGATTTTGATGATGATCCTTTAGGGTAGTGGCATGAGTGACATAATAAATTCCTGGTTATGAGCAAACTAGCAAAAAAATACTTGGCTGTTTTTGCATCTTCAACAGCTAGTGAAAGGCTTTTCTTAAACGCAGGGAATTTAATAACTGCAAAGAGAACTCGTATAAGTCCTAAATTGTTTAAATAATTAATATTTTTTAAAAAAAATGAAAAACACTTGAATAGTATTTATCCATCTTAATAATCTTTATACTATATTTAGAAGTATATATATATTAGACTGGTATATATTATAATATTAAAATAGATTAGTATATACATATATATACATATTACTATTACACAATAGTTTTCACATTACCGTTATACAATATTTTTTATAAATTGATTTACATTTTTATCTATATATATACTTTCTATTACATATAATTTTATCCCATCTATAATTGCCTGTTATGATTATATATAATTTCTGAATTAGACTTTAAAATGAACCTCTTACTTCTACAAACTATTACTCTGTTTAATTTCCTTTTTGATTTAAAATACTCCTAATATGGATATGAAAATTTCAAACAAATATATTTTTAATATAATTAATTAATATTTTTTTTAGTTAAATGATTTATACATCTCTGTAGTACTAGTCATTTAGGGGTGGTGCATTGTAATAAGACTTTAGTACTAATTGTAGTATATTGAATGAGATTAAAAACTTAAAGTTTGTTATTAAAAAGTCTTCATATATTAATTATATTTATTTATTATACTAGATTTCAAGCAAGATTTTTTGTATCAGTTATGCAAAACCATTATTTCTCCTAAATTAAATATAAGTATTATAAGCAAACCAAATCATTATCTGAAGCCTTTTACTAATATATATCTCTTATAGAAGTTATATCTTATAAACATAATAAAAAAAGAAATATAAGAGCTCTATAAGGATAATTTTGCTTAATGGTTGGATATCTAAAGTGTTGCACTATTGAAGATTGTATTTGTACCTTTAATCACTGAATTAGTATTTGTTTCTGTGCTTTAAGTTGTGTAGTTTTTAATTGGTGCATCAGACAATTGGTAAAGTGATAAGAGAAATAATATTAATGATCATATTTAAATGACTCATTTCTCATTGTCTAATAATAAGAAGTAATATGAACTCAGTGGAATATTTAGTTAACTACAGCAGCAAAAACTGAGAGTATAATACCAGTCACTGCCTGGATAGCTGTTTTGCAAAGACATTCATATTAAAACAGTTTAGAAATTACTGTATTATTTTAAAATAACATTACAGGATGTTATTTCTGATGTCTTAATTTAAAAGCATCAATAAGACCGCTTGCAATTGAATTTTCGGTTAACATCACTTTTAGAACTCTCGGGTAGGGGGAAGGGTGATAAAATTAAATGAACATATAGAATGAACAAATATGAGACAATTTGATTAGTCAATGTAAATCAAGAGATTGGTGAAAGTTATCCAGTATTTTGATTGGTTGTTCATTTCTTGGAAGAGTCTTTAGCTGAGAAGGGGATGACGTTAACTAAAGAATTAACTTCGAACGGCCTAATTAACTTTATTGATGATTTTTTTTAAACTTTTATATTAAATAAATATTAAGTTTAAAAAAAATTCCTCAGCTAAATTAATTATTAGCTTTATTTAAATTAAGCACTCGAAATAACACCCAGAGCATTATTTTGAGATAATATAGAAAATATGAGTTTGATAGTTCTCTAAGTTTGAAAGGCATCACAGTTGATATTATGAATGCTGAAAAGATTAGAATTGTTGGTTGAACTGGTAAATTTTATACTTAGTGTAAGAATTATTAAGATTCAAATGATAAATAATAGAATATAAAAAACTAATATTTGTTTATTATATTTATTGTCGGTGATGATGCTGAAATTTTAACTTACTTTATTATGAAATTTTAAATTTTTTTTGAGGTGTTTGGTTCAGCTTTTTTTTTTATAGTTAGGTTAGAACTTTGGGTTAGTGTTTATAATAAAAGAGTATAGGTGGATTTTAGTAGGGTTTATATTTTCAAATTGAGGCCTCAGATTTCAGCATCATCCCTGACATTTATTAAAGAAACTTCTGGAAGTATTGTAATTGATGATATTAATATTAGGGCTATTGGATTAAGTGATCTTAGAGGTAATATTTCATATCATGCTTTAGGATCCTGTACTATTTAATGTTACTGTTATATTATACTAAATCTAATACATAGACAACAAGTATGATATGTAATAAATCAATATAATTTTTAATATGTTTAGCAACTAACAATCTAAATTTGAAATTTAATTAAAGTATATTTGGTCCAACTCCTATTCGCAGCTGTGTCTTAGCGATATTATTAGTATTATAAATAAGCATTTTAAATACAAATGTATCTGCAATTAATTATTTAAATTAAAAGATCTCAGCAAACATATACTATAATTTTTGGTGATTGGAATGATGGCTCTTAGTGATCTGTGAATCTTATACTTTAATGGTCAATTTGAGGAATTCTCTATTTACTAATTAATTTTTAAAATGTACAAATAGACAAATTAATTGCAGCATATTTTAATTGGTTAATTTTGGCATCTATATTAAGTGCCAAGATAGTTACTCCTTACTATATAAGTATTGTGGTGAAATGAAAGGTCCTTATTTCGACTAGAAGTCTAAGACTTTTTTTTTTTTTGTGACATTATAGTAAGTATAGTTTTTACCTGATAAAACTATCTTACTATTATTTTTTGGTAGATTACAAATAAAATTTAATGCATCATTTTTTATCTCTTTTACAGATGAACATTTGTTGAACTATTCGAGATGTTAGAACAATTTGAGTGGCATTCGGTATTTGAATTTTCTGATCTTAGGAATTTTGTCAAATAATATTATACCAGAATGATTTTAATTTTATGTTATAAAATAATGTAGGCACTACAAGAAGCATTTAAATTGTACTGTATTTATTTACTAAAGAGATAATTTAAATGACAAAATAAATTTGAAATTACTATTAGAATCGCAAAAATGGTTTGTGTAAATATTTATATTTATTTGCTTAGACTATACAAAAGTATTTCTTGGTTTTTATAACCCAGCTAGCTCAAATTTTGATATGCAAATGAATATTTAATATTTTGTAAAACCAAAAAAAAAAGCAAAGGCAGCTGGGTCTGTTTTAATTTTACAGCTGTTTTTATTATTTTTAAAACATTTGGTAAAAAATTGATCGAATGATTGTTCATTTGATTCGATAAGTTATTGATTTCAGCATGATCAGTGCAATGTTTATTATTTACAGAGATAGTCTAAACCAGGTATGTACATAAGTTTTAAATTAATTACTAATCAGTTTGTAAATTAAAACTCACATAACAATACATCTTAATCAGAGTTCTATCTCTGATTGTAATACATCAAAATACCAGTCAGGCTTTTCTTCTATTAAAGTCTTAAGATATTTTATATCATTCAGGTTTAATGAACATGGTTTTTTTACAATAGTGAAAATCTTTCAACACATCCATATCTTTGAAATTATTTGAGAACTCAACTTATTGAAGATCTGCTAACACTTATATGTTTAGCAATTGTTCGAATTGATAACCTTTCTGAATTTTTTTTTGACTATTTTTTAGTGAATATACTTCGAAAATATTATATTTAATTAGAGTTATATTGATATTGGTTATCTGACTATTATAGATTAAAATTATTACTGTTGCACCATAAGTAGAGATCATTTGAAGCCTTGTAATATTTTATGTTTCACATGAGTTTCAATTTACTAATCAATTTAAAACATATATATGTAGTTACCTGGCTGGAATCAATAACTTATCGAATCGGCCAAACAATCATTCGATCAATTTTTTTTACTAATGTCCCAAAACTAATGAAAACAGTACAAACCAAAAGAAATTAATTTGAGTAACCTTAGTTCTAATTTATATTTCCATGTAGCTAATAATTTTTTAATTTTTCATTTAAAAGGAACCAGTATTTATTATGGTTTTATTTGTAGTAATAATAATTATTATAAAAATTATTATTATTCTTATAAGAGTTATTATTATTATAATTATAATTATAATGATTATTATTTTTAAACTCTTTTTTATTTGAAAACTTTTATTTAAGCAATAAATATGTATCATTATAATCAAATAGGATAATAACATGATATATTTACATCTTCCTAAATATTCATTATTTGAATTATAATATGCGTTATATTTGTTTTAATCTAGTCAATATATTGTTTATATGTGAATCACACCCAAAACCAAAAGTTTAACATTGCCAAATCAAAAACTTATCAAATCGACTAAACAATCATTTTGTTAATTTTTTATTAGATGTCCTAATTAAGACCTTAGTATAATCACAAAAAATTTTGCTAAACAAAATTTTGCTGTTACAGCTGTTTTTATTTCTAAAACACCTGATAAAAAATGATTTTTTGGCCGGTCCAGTTAAGTTATTATTTCAGCATATAGATTCAATGAAATTACAAAATTATATGCACTTAAGTATGTATGTAACCTTTACATTAAATAATGTACTATATAGCAAGTCTATATGCTAGCTCTATGAATGTTTTGGTCAATGTTATTCATATACCAAAAATTATACGAAATGTTCAATGTTATTAAATTTTCGGTTGAATCTTTGGTTTGTGTGAAAATTATAGAAGAGACTGGCTGTTCTTGTTAACCAGATATGAAATAGACTTTTATAAGAATATCAAACGAGTAGTTAAATGAGTATGCACTGATATTTTAGTAAGCATCTGACAAGTTTTCGAAATAAGCCTTCTAAATTTTTTCTATTTATTTTTGCCAGCAAAGATGCTTTGAAAGTATTTAACTAAGGATATTTGTATCAGCACGTAGTCTTATAATAGTTATGAGTTGCCTAATCTTATATTATATTGTACATTTTGTTGATAACAATTTATTCTGATATGCTGAAATTACAAACTTAGCATAATACTTAATCTTGAAGTTTATTTGGTTTGCGAAATTTTCTAGAATGGTAACACTAGTGTAGTTCTCTCTAAATACTTCAGCTGATTCAGATAATCCATTTCGAATAACCGACATAAAAGGATAAATATCCGAATATGGTAATGCAGGTAAATGGATAATGGATTTATCTGGATTGAAACTCTAATTTTGCTAATATCACATTCATCTATAATTCAAAAGTAATCCCAAATATAAGACTTTTTGGCTATTGAATTAATCAGTTTAGTAATATTTACTTTAATATTTTTTGAATTAGGTTAATTTGCAGATTCTTATGTATTTTTTTTTCTAGCAAATATATCAGAAAGGACACTAATTTTTTGAATATTATCACATTTATTATAAACATTTTCATCATAGACATGTTTATCAGAAATATATTTATTATCACTATTCATAATTAGGCATAGATTAAAAAACTTCTGACTAGGTCTTTTTCTTGTTTTATATTTATATAAAAGTAAAATATAATTACTAATATATGATTAATATTGTTATTTTTTAGTTTGAACTAAGTTATATTATGATAATCAATATAAGCAAATTAATAATATGATTAGAAGAAATGTTATGAGGTTTTAAAATTAATAGAAGTTATTGCAAATATGTATATAATTTAATCTAGTTTACTCAAAGTATCAAGAAATTGCTTAACTCAAATATCAATGTAGAGTTAATTTGATCAAAACAAGAAAATGTTCTTTATATACATAATATTAATTATACAATATTTAAATATTGAATATTCAAAGCCTTAAACTTTCATGTATGATAACAAAGCTTTGAATTTATAATAGCAAGTTTTTTTATTTCTATTCTAATAATTTGTAATTGGTCTAACTATACTAGTTATTAAATCCAAAGAGACTCTTTAAGATTATCATTTTAGCACAACTTTTAAAATTACATTAGTAAGTTTTTTGTTATTATTTTCTTTTTCTTATAAAAATTTTTAACAATATTTTCTATTTTTTTAATTTATTATATGATTTTTTATCAATTATTTTATGATTTTATGTATATTAATTTATATATTGCCATTATTTCACAATCAAAAATAGATATTCTGTATAATTATTTATTTTTTGATAAGGCTTTAATATATTAATTTGTATTATTTTCTTTTTTGTCTTTTATTTTTCTTATATGTAATCTGAATTATTATTCAGATTATCATACTAATTCAATTTTAATTAATTATACTGCCATATGCTAAATATGTATAAAATTCAAAAATAAATTAATTTTCTTTTAAATTTAAGTATTTATCATATATATACAGAATTGGCTTAGAACAAGTGTAGTAAGTAATTTGCCATTATTAATCTAGTAGCAAAATTATTAACTTAAGAAAGAAATAAATACAACAAAACCAATTAGCAAGCAAACTATTCTAAATATAATGCAATAGTATTTTATTTTATATATATAAAATATAATATAATATATTTAAAAACATTTAACTTTTTTTTTTTAAAACAAAAACTAGGCATACAGATTACTTGAACTCGAAAACAAAAAAGATAAGACCGTTTTTAGTCTGATTGAATCTATATGAATAAAAGAACCAGAAACTTCAATGATGCTCCAAAATGCTACTATCTATGCATTCTTTCAAATTGCATTAATAATATTTAATCTGACTATTACAAGAGGCAATAAACATAATTGTCATTAGAATTAGAGATGCTTAGATATGTTCAAAACAAATTAATTCATAAAGTAATATTTTCAATAATTATATTATTTTTAGAAAATTCTTACCAAACTTGCTGATTTACTTTTTTAAAAAAACATAATAGTATTGTGGTCACAATCATGATTTAACATTGTATTATTAATAGTGTTGACATTAAGAGTTTTACACATTTTTGACCATAACTTTTGATGTATCAAACCAATTTGGATGAAACAACCACCATTGGATTCAGCTAACCGAGACGATTCTAACGAGCACAATATCATGTGATTCTGATCACGGGATCACGAGATCGGGACGATTTTGATGAAAAGCATTAATTGTAGTACATGTGACTTGATTCTGATTGGCTCAAATTACTGTGCCGGAAATCTAGCATTTCTATCATTTCTATCATTTCTAG